CTTTCTTTCTTTCTTTCTTTCTTTCTTTCTTTCTTTCTTTCTTTCTTTCTTTCTTTCTTTCTTTCTTTCTTTCTTTCTTTCTTTCTTTCTTTGGCAATATATAACCACTGTGGTTGCTGGACAAAACCTCCAAGTGCCTTGGTCGTTAGAGCTTTCAGCTGTCAAAATCAAAGAACTTAATCCTTCTCAGTTAACTTTCCTGAATTTCTAATTACCCTGTGCCTATGTTAATTCAAGGGTCCATCACCTGTACTTGTATGCTTCTCCAGAATTCTAGTTCGTCACAAAACCTTGTGCGAAAAGGAAAAGGTTTTAAAAGCTTCCTTTCATAAATTGTGCATTTGAAAAAAAATATAAATATTTGCCCGCTTTGTACAATGCAGCATTTTTTTTTCTACTACAGATTTAATCGCCTCAAAATTACAGTCCTTTTAACTGGGGGAATTCTGCTGTTTTCCATGTGCAGCAGTTAATTCCAGAACTACATTGTCTAGGCCCAAGAATTTTGGTCTGTCTATTATATCTTTAACCAAAAACTGTACAATTAATTAGCCAAGGCACAGGGAAAGGGGAAAGAAACCCTTATGTTCACATGTTCCATGGGTTTGTATGGATTTTACACTATATGCCATGCAGATGCCATGCTTTTATACGTGACACTTATGTATGGGTAGAAATGCATGAGCAGCAAATTCGAATCAAGTGAATCCTGAACTACCACTCAATCTAGGCTTAATGCACATACACAAGGCATACACAGCTCTTCATCAAACAGATTGGAAAAGTAACTACATTCCTAGCAAATTCCTCTTTTTTCGTGGATTTACATCTACTTAATATAGATTGTTTTAGCAGATTTGGTAGAAAATAAATTACTGGATCAAGTATTCTGAATTTTGGGGCAGATTTATATACAGGATTCCTGGATTCTATCTATCCATAACTATAATTTGAGACTATTGGAGATTATTTGATGGTTAGAGTATCATCTAGACCAGTGTTTCTCAACCTTGGTAACTTGAAGATGTCCGGACTTCAACTCCCAGAATTCCCCAGCCAGCGAATGCTGGCTGGGGAATTCTGAGAGTTGAAGTCTGGACATCTTCAAGTTGCCAAGGTTGAGAAACACTGCATTAAACCAAAAAAGAAGCTAGCCACAATAGGGCTTAATGTGGCGGATGAATCCAAAATTGAGCAGGTGCATATAGAGAACTAAGACTTGGCATTTGCAACAAATTCTTGAGATTGAATTCTAAAGTTGTTGCAATTTGTAGCTGAAGCTTTACTAAATAAAATCGGTTTGTGAGAGTTTATATAACGTGAAAGTTCTGAACAATGTGGGTCTTAGGTGTGTAAGTGATTTGGATATTTTTAATTCACCGACCCCAAATGGTAGGGAATTCTAGGTCTTATAGTCCAACAATCTCAT